CTGAGACTGGAGTTACCGTACAGGAAAAATGCTTGTTATTTCCACTAGCTACATTTCAATGTGCTTTCACACTAGTACTGATCTCTTTTATCACAGCAGAGAAACAAGACGAAGGAATGACTTGATTCCAGCTTGCTTTATGCAGATTTTAGAGGAGATGAAGAATATATTCTATGGGAGTGCTATTATTTGCTAGTCATGTCTATTGAAGATCCTCTACATTACTGGGTGTGGCAATTTGACTATATAACATAATAAAGGAGTGACATTTTTCTTCTTTAAAAAAAAAAAAAGGTTGGCTAGCAATAAATATAGGTTGTGCGATTGTGCATCAGCTCAAATGTGGTATTCTAAGGAACACATTAGTAATAAAATGTACAAATGCTGTTAACCTGTCCAGAAAGATTTGTACCATCTGTCACAAAAAGCAATCAGGATCAACCGGTAGGCAAGCGGTCTGGCATGCAACAGTTCCTAGCATTTAGTCATACATTCCTTTTATTAGTCATCAGCCTTACACCCATTCTACTGTACCTTGTAGTTTGTCCTCATTTTACAAAGTGAACTTTAGGGCTAATGCTAATTTGTTCTTACGACTACGACCAGAATACAAAAATTCATATATTTACTATATTACCTTTTTCCCAGCAAAAGAAACTTCTACAAATGGATCTACCAGGTTTTTCTTGTCTGCTTCTCCTCCAAATATTTCTTTGACGGTCTGTGCAAAAGCATCGTCCACTGGAGAAGTGTCAAAGAATAAATTAAGGTTTATGCTTTCTTTTTTTTAATTTTATTTATTTATTCAGCCTAAATAATAAATTGCCCATAGCAATCCCACTGCAATCAACCAGCTTACAGATTTGGTAGGGTAAAGTCTAATCTGATAAATAAAATTCTGAACAGCATTGATAGTAAAAATGGAGAATTGAGACTCAGGAGCAATTTCAAGAATATAAATTTTTGAAATATCATAAGGAGTGTTGATGTGCTCCTGAATTTAGAGGAACAGTTGTATTTGAAAAACATTATGCATATATTTGTAGACATTGTCATTTGTTGTCATAGATACAGGTGAGAAATTATGCTAAAAAGGGATAAAACCCCACTTCTACTCTGTCAGAAAACACATACAGCATATAATAAGAGAAATAGCCTTTGTCTCCACAATATAGAGTTGACACAAGTAAAATCTCACTAAAAAAATAAGATCAAACTGCTTACAAGCTCCCTTGCCCTCCAAGGCTACTTAAGCTTATGATACTCCACTTATAGCCCACAAACTGCATGCAGTTTTCTGGGATACAGCCAGTTCATAGTTACTTCTTTCCTGTGGCCACCCAGGAGCAGGTTGCTGGCAATACAGCCTGCCCTGGCGATCACAGCAGCGGCTGACTGATTTCAGCAGTCCTGCAGCCCTTCCCCCACTGCAAAACTGGCTGCAGCTATAGGCACCTATGAAGAATAATTAATGGATTGCTGGGAACAGGAAGGTGCAGGGGGCCACCAGCAGACCGCTTATCTACTAGCATATAAATGGCCTTGGAAAAGAGGGCTGCAGGGAACCAGCTGTCTGATAACCTCTGGAAAGCGGGCAGGGATTGGGATCCCACAGTTGACGTGTGCACTGTATACTTGAGCTAGACATGCACAGAACATCCAGCTTATCTGCAGATCAACTGTACTCCAATGTTAGTTATTTGCATATAACTTCTGCAACTGGAGAAGTTGGTCCAAATGAAGATGGTCCTGTCCCACTACCAGAAGCTGCGTGTCCCACTCAGCAGCAGATGAACATTACTAATCTAATGCGTGACACATTAAATTATCCATTACAAGAATTAAGTAGATTTACTGAGTGCTACCAAAGGACTTGAAATGGGTTACTTCAGCCATCACAGAATTACTGACTCAAGTAACACTGTAAAACAGTCAAGATGGTTTATGTTTGTCCTGATTTGAGCTAAAACAGAACTAATTCTGTTCAGTGATTTTACTTTTCGGTTAAGTCTCTCCTAAGCAACTGCACTTTCTGAAATCAACAGCATCTATTTCCAGACAGTGTCTGCTTCTAGCAGTGATAGCGCTTGATGTTTATAGTTAATACAAAGGAAGGGTATGCAGAAAGGCTCTTGCTTATACTTGCTCCTATAGCAAGTAAGGTCACTGCTAAATCTTGTACTCCATGTTGGGGTCCCAGAAGTGAAAAGGGTCGCAAGTATGTAAAAAGGTCGCACCTGTAGGGAGGAGTGAGACGGACAGGTGACCCAAACCTGACCAGTTAAGTATTCCATCCCACACACATCATATTCAGTATAAAGTTGAGGGATCACAAGGGTCAAGCCCTCTTCCTCGATGGACAACATCCAAGGAGGACTCTGTCTGTTCTTCTGCCTGTGATCCCAATCTGTGTGTTCCTGAATCCAGTTCCTAAGTCCAGTTCCTGGACCCATCTGCTGCCAAGTCCAGCCTGGGACTTCCCCAGTGCCAGCCCTGCAGCACCAGTGGTGCCGTACAGTCATCGGGGGTAGAGTGGGGAGATGAGTTTGGTATTGGTTTTGTATATATTTAATTAGTTTCCTTTTTTTGTAATTATATTTTCTTTTATTGTTATTGTTTCATTAAAACATCTCACTCTCTTATTCCCTCTCCCTTCCCCTCCGAGCATCTGTCATTCGTTAGTGGTCAGCCCAGCCTCAACCCTTGACAATGTTCAAGGAATGTTTCTGAACAGCTAACAGAAATATTTCTAATGGTAATCAAACACACCCATGGACAACTAGTAAGAAACTGCATACTTTGTGGAATGTCCTCAGCTCTGTAGATTTTGAGAAGGAAAGTGACCCAACGAAGTGCAATTCCAGCAGGTAATAACAGATTGCTCTCCACATCATCGCTTTCATTATCTCTTTCAATTTTTCAACCTGTTGGGAGATGCAGTAGTACATAGTATCTGGTATATAAGAAAGACAGAGTAATGCATATTCAGTATGCAAAAATCTGAGGCAGGAAGAACAGCAGAACTTAAACTCCAGACAATGGCCAAGAAAGAAAAACGTCACACAGAAAAGAGGGCTTGTTTTTACCTTGACAGAACAGCAGATAGTTAAGGGTTGGATTGTTAAAATTAACTATTGCTTTCATATGCATCAAATTACTTGTGCCTAACTTGTCATCATTGACGGGTCTGATTTTCACCTGGCAAGTATTTGGAGCTTTCTGGTACTCAGGTTTCCAAAAGTCTACGTTACATAGTAGTGGAGGTGTTCCTGACTTAGTCCTGGAACTGGTTGCTCAGCTTGATTAGCTATGCTAAGGAGAATTGCCTATTAGCTTAAATGCAACACCAGGCTAACACTTCTCTGCTTCTTCCAGGATGTGAAGAAGTATCTGCAAATGATAGATCAACACACCCAGAGCTGGTTCAGAGGTTGCTTAATTGGACAGGATAACAAAATGAGCTTTGATTCAGCCAGTTGGTACCAGATGCCCCTGAAACAACCCATAAATCTTGTCTTATTTTTAAACACTGCTCACAGAGTGAATTATACAGTATTCAAAAAAATGTCAGGGGTACATGAACAAATATCCATGGTGTGGAGAGGGGAAGAAAAACATTTAAATGAAACTTACTGGTGGCTCATCTCCAGTTCCCAGGACAAACATGCTGACTTTCATATAGCCTTTAGCTCCTGAATTTGTATCTTCAGGATCACTCAGCAAAAGCCATTTTCTCATGACTGCATGGCCTGAAATAAAACAAACACCACCAGCCACCCCCAGTAATATCGATCACAAAATGGCAGAAATCATAAAATCAAAGTCAAATGTACCAAAGCATGCTTTATCCTAAAACTACTTATTTTAAAAATTTATTCTGTCCTAGACAGGTCTCAATAGTGCCATTCAAAACAAGAAATCTAGTGTTGTGGCATACTAGTTCAGGGACATAAACGCCAAATATTTTTGCATTATTTTTCACATTTTAGGTCTTTGATACCAAAACTAACATCCAAATTTTAGGTGCTTGTACTTCATCCTGAAACCACTGAAAGGGGTTATATATTGTTAGATTTTTTTAAGTTAATACTTAAAGCAGCAATCTCAAATAACTTTCCATTGACTTTCTTCCTTTACTTTATAAATCTAATGAAATGTTTTGAGCTAGAAAAGAAGCTCTGAAGCAACTGTTACTTACCAGGCTCATCATAAACATAGCCAATATCAATCTGAAATAAAGATCAAAGGCATTACTGCTGAAGAAATAGTGAAACAGAAAAATGTTAGGGCAACTCCCTTCAAGTTTTTCATGAGTACTGCTACATTGTTCTCTTGTCACAAACAAAAGAAAGTTTATATAGCATATTCTTGGGAAGAGAAAGGGAAAATGCCTTACATTGAAAAATAAGAGATTTTGAATAGATACAGCAGACAAGAAGAAAATACAAGAAAAGATGTATTAGAATTACCAGTTGTAATTACTTTCTTTTTTTTCCTCAGATCCCCAGCTTTCTCATTTATCAGAGACAGTAGATGGGGCTAGCTTACTGCTTCTTGAATTCCCTATGCTTCCCCATTATTTTATGTTCAGGCAGGCTTTTCACAACTCTCTTCCTGCTCAACATCTCATCCTTCAGTTCCAGAAACGAAGCTCGTTTTTTTAATGAATAATTTCCTTTTGCTTTTATGAAGATGATGGGCAACTTTTCCCCCCACTGTGTCAAATCTGGACAAGATTGCACGTATACCACTACTGTATTCACTTTATCAGATTTCAAACACATTCAGGAATGTAAGTGTGTTTGCTCATGGCAATTTGGGCTAGTATTCCTTGCAGGTAAAGTCTGAAAGGGCGATTTTCTAGAGAAAATTACCCTTGGGGTTTTCTCCTGGAACATGTGCCTGCAGGAACATAAAGCAGCTGAACAACATGCTGTCACCTGCTTTGTGATTGATCAATCCTCCACAAAGCAATATATCACTGTCTGAGTCACTAGAAATTACATAGATAATAAGCAGTGAGAAGCAAAAGCAACCAGCTTTCTGGCAGAAACTGATTCATTTAGAAAAGAGCAATCTTCCACACTTACATATTCTTGAGAAAAGCTGATCTAGAGACCTACTGAATTTATGCAGTACAAAATAAGCAAACAGAAAATACAGCCAACATTGATACTGGAAATGTTATGATAGGGGATCCCAGTAGCCATTATAATTGTCATGTGAATTCTTTGTCTGTATTGCTTTAGGAATACCTTCAACAGGCAGATGTCTACCTCTCCATATTTGCCATAACAAATACAAATAAAGACAATCTCACTAATATCATCAGAACCACAGAAATTACTTTAACTAAGAGACTTTTACACCATCTCTTTTACCTAATGAACTTCTGACCAAAGGAACACCTTTCCACATCACTTGAGAATGTGTATCTTTATGCCTCCATACACACCACTATTCTGCCTATTAGTGATCAAATAAAATTCTGTCTTCAAATGCAAAACCTCATAGCAAATAATCACCCTGATACCTTTTGAGTAAAAAATTTACCTTTTGGTAAATCAATTTTTCTCTTGAATGCAAGTTGGACAACTTGGTATATAAAACATACAATTTTCTTTAACAATAATATTCTACTCAAATAAGAAAACCGTTTACTAGTGCTTTGAGCAAATGCTCTCTAGCATGAGAAAAAAGACATCATCCAGTAATTCTTTGGCCCCACACTAAAGTAGTATAAATTTAAACATTTAAAACAAGTACTTAAAAAAATGCTCTCATTTTATTTAATTTAGTTAAGATATGAAGTTGTTTCATACCCACCTTAAATTCTCCCATTAGACAGTCTGCTCGTAAAGAATAAGAATCATACACCTAAAAAGACAGACAAGCGTCAAACAGGAATGTTCCTAAACATCCCAGTGAAATGGCCAGACAACACTATATGGATCCGGCCTTTTGAATATGCACCATTTTTTCTTACCCGAATGCTAACTGTTTCATCAAGCAACTCTAAAGGAGTCATGTGGACATTGTAGAAAAAGATCTGTTGATGTAAGAACAAACAAAAACCCTGTCTCAAAATGACGAGCACATAATTCTCTGAACAGAAAATGCAAAAACATTAAGAGGCTTGTGAAGCCTGTCTGCTACGGTACTTTGCCCTGCCTCCTTGCTGGACACATATATGATAATGTAGCGCAGAATAAAAAACTAAATCCAGTAAATAAACTTAGTACAAAATAGACAAAAGACAGTCACAACTTCCACTTGAATGAATGCAATAGGCATAGCTGTGCTGCAAACTTTCAGCACTACCCTTGCTCCTTGCTCTGCACTTCACATTTTCCTCAGTGGAAAAACTTTGGGAATTATCAAGGTTGTTCATTTTCCAAGACATTCAATCCTGGTCTAGCCTTCTCTGTTGTAGCTGTCAAAAAGTTCTTGTTTAGAACTAGTAGTGACAGTGATTGTAATGATTTGCATCTTTCAAATTCAAGGCCACAGGAATAAATCTGATAGTTCGACAGCATGAAGATAAATACACTATTAGCTTATTTGTTTCATTAACAGTATATGCCTCACTAAGTTTGGTCTTTGAGCCCACCTATACTCCAGTCAGTACTTCACACAACAAAAGGGAAGGGTACATAAACATTGTCCCACTATTCGATTTTTAGCAGAGTCTGGGTACTGAGACTGCCTGGGAATTGATTCAATACAAGGTGGACTGGCTTTCTCCCTTCCCTGTTTTCTACCACTGCTTCATAAATCTGGACTGCTACCTACAGCTTAGTTCAAGTCTCAAAGTTTTATAGCTTCCTTGGTTTTGCCTGCGTGTGTTAAATGTGCTTGCCACCCAGTTCCAAAATCTTCTGAATTTTCCACACATGTCCACACAACGAGGGTTATCTCTCAGCATTCACCCTATTAAGCTTAAGCTTTGCAACATTAGTCTTCCAGACATGTGATCATTCTTGTGTTCTTTATACACCTTTGAATTCTTTCCTGTATTTCAGTGCGTTTGATGTACAAATCCCTGTCTGGACAAAAAAAAAAATCTAGTACTTTTACACATCATGGGTAGAAAGGCAATGACATTTCCAGATTCTGTGTGACAGTCTTATTGACCCAAAACATTTCACTGAAAACCCATCTGCACACACCACAGAGGTCTACAATAATTCTTAATTAATTTTTCTGTGATTTTATATCCTGCACAAAACTATTCAAAGTTATTATCATGTCACATGGCCAACTGTATCAAAGAACATGTTTCATACGTCTCAGATGAAGTTTGACTTCCTTCTAGATAGCTTTATCTGCTAAGACTGCCAGCGATTAGAGACGTGTTTGGTGATGTGAATACATAAAGAAAGGAACTGGGAACTGCAAAACGCGTATTAGCCACAATTAGCCTTAAATATTTGCCAATTCTTATTAAATGATCATAATGAAAGCTGTAATAACTATTTTTCTACACTTGAGAGCATCAACATTTCAGCTACAGTGTTCTTATGCCACTCACTTCATCAAAATATGGGTTGTTTCCTCTTTTGATTCTTGTTCGGTGTGTCTGACCACAAACATGAACTTTGACTACTGGTTTTATGTTATTTCCAGGCAACTGACGACCTTCAATGACTCTTACACGAATCTGAAAAAAATATAAATTCAAATATTTGTATTAATTCATTCCCTACATTATCTATCATCCTGGTGACTACAATTTCTTACTATAGCACCAAAAAAGTTAGCCAACAGCTGAGGTACCTGGCAGATATGGACTGAACAGACTTTTCAAACTTAATTATGCTAGCAAGTATAATTTTATTTGAATTTTACAAGACAAGTGTGGGATAATCATTTCAGTAAAATCTTTTTTACTTGCTTTTACTAATTCTTTTTAAGGCCGCTATTGTAATTTGACATCGACACAACTATATTAAATAGGGTTCATCTAGATTTCAATCAGAACTGTACAAAATTGGACATCTCTGTAAGAGGCAAATTTGAAGAATTCTTTTGAAATACAGGCTTTCAAATGAAGAGGCTAATTGTTTCTACAGTGCATTAGATTTGCACGATCTGACATTAAATTATTCTCAGGCTACGTGAAAGGAGCAATGTCATGCCAGGCAGAAAAAGAGAGCATGCCACATTTAATAAATCTATTACCTGGAAATCTTGTGGTTTGTTAGAAAGGATTCTCCGTGTTTTCTTTCCTTTGGTGATGCGTTTAGCTAGCTGGGCTTCCTTTGTGCCACTTGGAACTGCTGGTGTGACACCACCAACTGGACCATCCAAGTAATCCTCATAACCTCCATCATCTTCTCCATCTCATACGGTAAAAAGAAATTGCAATTAATAAACAAACAGTACAACAGCTTGATGTTGAAGCTAGAGGAGTAAGAGGCTGACATCCAAGAATTCCACTAAAATTGTATTATTATCTCATTTCAACACTTTTTTTTGCTAACTACATGCTTCCAACTCCTTTTGAAAGCCAGTTATTCTAGCCTGCTTAAGAACAAATTTCTATCTTAACCAAATTAACCATAGATCTGTCCCTCTTCAGGATGCAGAGTATCTAATACAACTCCCATACACTTTTTTGAACCAATCAATTGAAGTTTTAGCCAAGTACAGTTCAGCTTTAATCGTCACCAGAGTAGTTCACAATACAGCGCAAGTGATTAATTTTATTCCAGTTGAAGTTGTTTCCCAGCAGCAAGACTAGGCTATAGCATAGCATTCGTTTTTACTTCAGAATCTTGAAAACATGAAGACATTTAGGGTCTGCCATCCAAAACACAACTCTGAATCCTCCTCCACAGCATTTAACTGTGCAATAAGTTACAGTTTCTTAGTAAGCCTCTTTGACAGTTCTGAAATCACAATACCTCTGTGGAAGACTGTTCTACAACCACATGACACTACAGTACCAGATCATACAGTGGGATTCCAGTATTGCAAAACAGGACCCGTAAATATCTAGACCACAAAAGTGCATCACTCCCTTGTGTTTCCAGCTTCTTTTCTTAACTGAAGGACAGTGACTGTGGTAAAATCTACAGGAAGAACAAGCTGTGTCTCTGAAGGTTAGCATTAACAGAATGTCTGTTAACTTTATGAATTAGTTTGCCAACACAAGGTGATGACTACTTTGCATAATGAAGTCATCAGTGATCCTTGTAAGAGATGTATAAAAACCCAGAGATTGACATACCATGTATTTTATAACCAGAAAACCCCACCTCCCTAACATCTCTCAAAATCTATCTGCCTGGATGGATCCATGCAACTGCTTGATTACACACCCTGACTTAGCACTTCATTTTTAATTTCAGAAACTGAGCTGTAGCAATCTCAGCTAGGGAGGTGATTTCACTTCATGGGAAATAGGTATTTACAATAATTAACTAATGTGTGTTTGATAATTTGCACTGAAATAATTTTCATGCAGTTGCTGAATACCAGCTAAAAACCTGCCATGTTTTATTTTACCTGTATTACCTTATAGTTCAAATACATTTCTAAAAAGCTATCAAAATAACCTTATATAAGTCAATTTGGATTTTTAGCCTTCAAGTCCACATTTCTGTAAAATTATTTTGAAGTGTAGCAATTTAACACACAGCTTTTGTGTTTGCATTACCTATTGTTCTACTCCCCAAGAATATGTCTCAGTGAAGTCAGTGGAATCAAAATTTCCTCCCAGAAGACTCCTCATTTCAATTTTTTCCTTCTTTTGTTATTATATATCAGCAGATAATGGTCAAACAGACTTATTACTCCTCAAACATATAATATTTATCACGTTTACTTCTTTCTGTACAAACACAGCCTGGATATTAGGGTAATTATTTGCCTGTCAACTGCAAAAAGCTGTTGTTATTTCACAGTTCTTTAAAGAGTCTGGAAAACCAGAAGATCTCAAAACCACTTTCAGCAAAAGCTTGGTTGATATGATATATGGAGACCAAAGAACATTCCCAACCGATCACCATATTTCATAGGCTAGTCAAATATCAAGCCTAATATAAGATACAATGTTGTCTTTCAAAATTTACTTATTCTACAGGGAAAAAAAAGCTTAATGATTTAAGAGAATCTTTTCACAGAGCTTCCTGACATTGAAAGTAATAGAATATATTTTTCCAAAAATGTGACTTCCCTGCTTTTTTGGTTAGCCCTAGCATTACAGCAGATAACTGCTGTTTCTTTGAGCATTCAAAAACTTTCTTTCCTAAACAAAAGCCATTTTGAAAAGCTTTTAAGTAACTTCATTCTTTTGTAACCTGATTTCACTGGAGAAAATGATTCTAAAAATCATTTTATCTCGGGAAATGCCAATTTTCTTCCTAGCTGAATCATCCTTAATTTCTCTAAAATCACTATCTGGCAGTCTTGACATGCTTGCTTCTCGTTACATTTTTTTCTGATGAACAATGCTGTTGAATCACTTTCTTTCCTTATCATAAATATCTCCATGATCTTTCACTATAACTTTCTGAGAAAAGATTGAAATACCTTCTTGTGTATTTGTCCCTCCTGGATCATTTGGGTTTGCAGGTCCAGCTGGTGGCTCATAGCCTACTACCAAATCAATTGTCGCCTATAGAGAAACACACTTTTTTTCATGTAGCACAAATTATTCACAACAATTGATTTAAAGCAGTAAGTTGTTCTAGCACTGCATGAACAGTTAACTATTCATAGTCAAAACCAGTTTATAATAAAATCTCAGCTGTTAGTAAATTAATAAACTGTTATTAAGCTATACATATATATACAAACAATAAAGATTACACAATTCACAGCAAATGGAATAGCCTCTGAAATAATATCTAACAAATGGAATTGCTGTGTTTGTATTCAGAAAAATCTGTCACAGTACAAGTATATAAGATGTTCCTCCAATGTTAATTTACCTAGTTCCACAATATTTATGGCAGACTAGGTGACACCTTAAATATTGCAGATGGAAAAACAAAGGCAGTGAGAAACAACACTATCTGATCAACAACATACAAGTCTGAACCATAAGTAAAATTTCCTATCTGGCTCTTCTAATCGCTTGTTCATACCACCATCCTAGAAGAAAAACAGTATGTCATTTTCCATTCTAATTATAGAATTGACTTTTTTGTGCTTGACTGCGGTTTTGGATTATTGAACAAAGCATTATTATTCCCAGTTGCCACAGTAACATGAGGAGTCAGCAAAAAAAGCCCAACCCTGTGACCAGCTAACCATGATATTAAACTACAGCTGATGACATACTGAAATTACCCTTAAAGCCTCTTATTATTATGGCACTAGAACGCAATGTGAAGTGCCTTAACAGCTAGACTGCAAAAACACAGTAAGGTCCCAGTTCTAGAAACTACTTAACTAAGTTAAAAACTGCTAAATTTAAACGCATGCTAAACCAAGTCAAGCAAGTTTTGTAACCTTCTGAACTAAGCTGGCAGTGAACATGAACATGATTAAGTGCTTTCCAGAATCACTGCTATGACACAGGTGGACATTAGAAAGAATACAGCAAGAAAGGGCATGTGGGAACTCCATCTGGTACTTAGGAAAATGGTCCTTTTCAACATTTGGCTGATTCCCATGCATATTCTGTGGCATAACATTTGTAACATATATATACAAATACATAACACGTACACAGAAAACAACTTATCTAACTTAAAGGATATTAAACAAACTCAGATGGTATAGACATAATTATATCTTGTTATAAATTTCCTCTGTCTGGAGCTTTTGCTACAAAATTCCAAGCATTTAATTTATAAAGTAAAAATAACTTGAAAATATTTTTGTTTCACTATTTAGTCCTGTTGCTGGAGCATTTTGATCAAGAATATAGTAAAATAAGGAAATGTAAGCCACTCACTCCAGTTTCTTGTCCCCTTTCATTTAGCAGAGGTATGAGTTTGAAGGGAAAAGATCTGCTTTGGTTACCTACAAGATCCTTAAGTGCTACGGATGCACTGCCAATTAATCTGAAATGAAGTAAAAATCATTATTAGAGTGGAAGTATACATTAAACAGAAGTTCCCTTTTGTCTTTTGCTAGTGTCTGTTAGTCAAGCAAATAACTCCAGCCATAACTTGAAAACCCAAGACATAACAAAAGATCATTGCAAACGTTATCCAATGATTGTGAACTGGTAATTTGTATTTTCTGCTTCACTGCACTTAAATGCACTGGTGTTCTTTACGGAAGACACAGCTTTAACTTAAAAGAGGCTAAAAACCTAAATTTAAATAAATTTTATGTGTATTTTGAAAATAATCTTCTGTATAACTTTCAACAGCCACATAATTTGTTTCAGCCACTGAATTCTCACTGGT